GTTTTGTACAAAGTATTGTACGTTTTGTACAAAGTATTACTGAAATTTATTAAATTTCAGTAAGTGTGTTCAATACTTTTTCCCTGTGCCATTCCACATTATTACAAATAACTTCATTTCTGGACATTTATGGTTTGATTTCTTTGTATGTATGGATCACTTGGGTTGTTACCGACATCTGGTGAAAATTTCATGTCATTAGCACCTCTAGTAATATATTTACTGAGAAAAATGGTGACGTGTTCAATACTTATTTAACCCGCTGTAATATACGTATGCAGGAACAGTGCAAAATGGACCCAGAACAAACAAATGCAAGATTTCATATAAAAAAGAAGTAAACAAACTAAAGAGCCAGAGATCAGAAAGCAATGGTGTGTATTTATATTTGGCTACATTAAATAAAAATTCAACCTGCAGATGATTAAATATTACGTCTTCAAATGACAAATATTAATTAAAACGGTCAGCAGCAAAAAATATCTGAATAAAAATTCACACAGCTGAGTTTAACACAATGTTCTGCACGAACCGTTTGATTTGTACTGAAATGAAAACTGTTCGCAGTTTGACTGCATTGTGATAAACAAGGATTCATGTTTACTTCTGAAAATCAATGAAGTGTAATTTGAGTTACCATGATCCCCAGCTCATCACAGATGTCGTAGAACAGATCCTGTTCGTACACTCCACCTCCCCAGACTCTGAGGGTATTCATGTTAGCATCTGCTGCCGACTGAAGCAAGTTCCTCAAACTGACACAAAAAAAAAAAATAAAACATTTAACATGCATTAAACAAAGAGAAGCTCATACAAGTTATTTTTTATTTTAAGTCTGGAAAAATGCACCAAAGCTTGAGATATTGCAAATGGTAAATGGACTGAATTTTAAAGGTGAAATGAAGGCTACTTTAGTTGGTGAAATAACTGAATAATTTGATAGTATGTGTTGTATTTAGTATGAATATCAATAAAATGTCTAAATATTGTTGTAAATTTGACCAAAACATGTAATTTTCTACAAACTGCATGAAAAACCATACCTTTGCATCCCGTTCAGAGCTCCCAGCAGGGGGCGCAGTTTGTGTGACGTAATATTTGTTGAACAACTCTCGCTCCTCGTAGGATTACATTTAGAAGCAGCTTTTGTTTTTAAGACTTTAGCAACTAAAATAATGATTTCGGGCTCTGCTCTGTAGCTCCATTAAGCAGGTGGAAAATCATATTTTTAAATACTTTTTCATTACAGTTGTGACTAATTTAAAATCACAATTTTAAATAAAACATATGAATGCAAAATATGCAAAATACACATTTTTTGGGCTTTTTCCTTCATTTCACCTTTAAAGCTCTTCACACAACAGTCAGTCACCCATTCACACACTGATGGTGGTAAGCTACATTGTAGCCACAGCTGCCCTGGGGCACACTGACAGAAGCGAGGCTGTCATGCACCGGCACCACCGGACCCTCTGACCACCATCAGTAGGCAAGGTGGGTGAAGTGTCTTGCTCAAGGACACAACGACTGAGACGGCTGGACGGGGGATCGAACTAGCAACCCACATATTACAGGACGACTCCCCTAACCACTCCACCACAGGCCCCCAAATGTTGGTTCAGCTTTCATACTTTAGGTTTCCTGTTTTTATTATTATTTATTAATATTTTGTACACTTTTTGCCATTCATACGTCTGAAGGTTCAGCTCATTCAGGGGAAGGGTGCAATGACTTATGGGTAGGGCTGCCACAAACGATTGTTTTAATAATCGATTAATCACCGATTATTTATTCGATTAGTCAACTAATCGGATCATACGTTAATTGAATATAAAACATACAGCTTATCACATCAGAATGCAGCTGCTATTATATAACCATGGTTAGATTTTAGCTATATGCTAACTAAAAATAATTGCTGTGGAAGGCAAGTTCTGCCTTGCAGATATTGCACAGGTTTCTCTTTACCACTACTGTGCATGTGTGTCAAGGACAGAAAGGCAGACGTGGCAGTGGAAGGTGTCAAAGCAGTTTGGAG